TCTATTTCTTTCCCCACTATTTTTTTGGAAAAAAAAACTTTTTTTTTTGGTAAAAAGATAAGGCATTGGTTTGTTGTAGAAAAAGGTAAGGTAAGATTATGTTGCAATAAGTTAATTAATTAATCAAAAGTTTTAATAAATTTTAGAAAGCAAAAAATTAATTAAATAATATTAAATTTCTAATTTTGTATTATTTATATTTTTATTGACTAAATGTGAACTATTTTATCAAATAAAATTAATATATAATTAGTTTAGAATAAGTTAGAATATTATCTTAAACTAATTTAAATTTTATTACTATAACTATAGTTCAAAAATTAAGGACTTTAATATAATATTTAGTTAAAACAAATTTTGCTTATTTACTATAAATATTTGTATTATTAAAATTTTTATTAAGAATAAGTACAAATTATTTAATTAAAAGTTAATGAATAAAAATAAATTTAATGGAGCAATAATTTTAACTAAAATGAAAATATTTTTTATTACTTATAAGTTTAATTTTATTTACTACTTACAATTTCTAATTTAAAATAAAATTATAGTTTATATAAATGAGTAAAGTTATTGCCTAATTAAATGTCTCAATAAGGTGAACTCAATGATATAACAAATGGTTAAAAAAAATGATATAACAAATGGTTTAATTGAAGTCCAAATGAGCTCAAATGAATGGCATAAAGCAAAATTAAAAACCTTAAAACATTAATTGGATGGCCAATTGGTCTCCAAATTTTGTTGATTGAATGCTCATCATTTTTTAAAACCAAAATTTATTGCAACAACAAAAGGATTACAACAAGCTTAAAGACGGGACGAGAAAAGAAAACTACAAAGATATCAAAAAATGGGGGGTTAACATATTGCAACAAAAAAAGGATTACAACAAGCTTAAAGACGGGACGAGAAAAGAAAACTACAAAGATATCAAAAAATGGGGGGTTAACAATCCATTAGGCTCAGTATTTGACAGAGGCTTCCAACTACTCCGAAGCCAGGCGCAAGCCATCCAGTTTGGAGTGAAAGCAGTAAAGCACCAAGGAACCAACCCAAACAAGCAAGAAACGCACCACCAAAGATTGCCACGTACCATGGCTTAAGATAAGTGAGCCCTAGCCGCATCATTTCCCACAAACCAACAATCGCATCCTCAAAATTTAAACCAAGCTCCAGCAAAATAGCAACCACCACAATTAATAAATACGCAGCAACCCAAAGGAGAGAGACCAATGAAAATTATCTCCTACCCCTACCACGTCTACCCCTCCCACGAGTGGATACTGGCACAAAAGGTCGGTTAGGCTGAACAGTAAATTCACCCATAGGTTCTTCATCTCCACTAGCCTCCGAAGAGGAATATGACGAACATTGAAGCTAGTCAATTTGCAATCTCACACTCTCCCCCGAATTGACACCCACTCAAGAAACCAATGCCTCTAGTGAAATTAAATTAACAGGAAAATCAACAAAAGGTCCAAGTAGAAGAACAATAGGAGTCACAGGGTTAAAACTAGAGGGTGAGGAAAAACATTTAACAGCCGGCACAGTAGGAGAAACTGATGACCCAGAGTGCACAAACACCACACTAGGTGCATCCACCTCAGCCAAAATATACGGGGCAGACACAATACCCACACGAGGCAAAGGTATTCAGGAGTTAATACCACCACCAGCTTCACTTGCACATTTACGGGATGCTAGGACAACACCATAATCTGTCCGAGACATAAACGCAGGAGAAACAACACCCACCACCTCACCAGAATCCACTAATTCCCCAGAACAACGATTAGCAGGGGATATAACAGGATTATGAACACCCACATCACCGACATTAGCAGAAAGGGTGGGACAAACCAAACTAGCTTTTGAATTAACCAACACCCTGATCCCTGAGACCCACCAGAGCCAAAGACTGCTTCACAGGCTCAGTAAAAACTAAATCATCCCAAATAGACACATGCACAACAAGAGTACAAATAGCATCGGCTAAAACAACATTATCATTATCCAACACCGCAGGACCCGTAGGAGGGGCAAGAAAACAGGTAAATCACTAACCAAACTAGCTGGAGCTACCTCAACGACAGGAGAAACAACCACACTATTAGGCGGGGGATGAAGAAGAGGGCATTCAAGCTTAGAGTGGCCCAAAGATTTACAGTGAGAGCAATAGGATGAAAAAAGGTCCATAACAACCGATTGTATATAGCCTAAGCCCTCAGAGCCAACCCAAATCTTATCAGGATACACCTTGGTTACATCCAGTTCCACCATCACATGAGCAACCGACATCCACCTCCCAAAGGAAGTAGCATGATCAATTTTAAGGGTCTACCGAGCATGGAACCGAGTACATGTAGAATCCTCAGGGCAAAGAGGTGCGGTCTCAGACTAGGAAAAGAAACCCAAATTGGGGTAGAAGGAGATTCAATATCAACATCAAAGGTAGGGGACCATTTGAAAATTTTCATGAAACAGTTGTTTACAAAATAGGAACGATGGGAGAAAATACGACAGTAATCCATATCATTCTCAAGCTTGATAAGAACATGCTTAGGGTTTAGAATAGTGACCAAAAAAACACCATTGAGCTTGAAGTTCAAGAAAAATTTGTGAATCGCCTAAATCGAAAGTCTATGAGTCTAAATTTACCAACTAGCGCAAACTCGAAGGGAGCTGCAAGAGCTAGTACCTCCTCATCCGAAATCCAAAGTGATGGCAACACCTGAAAAGACAAAATTTTAAGATCAGGAAAAGAAGAGTTCGAACAATGAGAAGAACCCGCTAAAGCCTCATGAAAATACCGAGAAGATGGATTTCCCATCAAAAAATCAGGATCCAGAAGTCGTTTACCCTCCATAAATATAGAAAACCAACGGAAACCAAAAATTTTAGGGCAGGAAACTTCCCTGAGAAGCTTGGAGAAGGACGCAACGACGAAGGAAACAACACCAACCAGAAACCTGAGCAAAGCTCATGAAAAAACGCTTAGCATTCAAAAAGTTCAAGGGTAAAAAAAAGAATCTAGATATTAAAATAATAATAATAATTTGAGAAAAATCATATAAATAGCAAATAAATTTTATAAATTTATAAAATTATAGAAAATAACATATTAAATAATTTAAAATGATATCAAAGGTTAAAAAAAATTCTTTCACAACCCCCTAAATAAAAGCTTTAAATAATTAAAATTATAAAAGTTATATATA